TTGGGGCACGTGTGGCCCTCGTGTGACTTGCAGGTGGTCCTGGCTCAGGGAAAGGGACCCAGTGTGAGAAGATTGTGCAGAAGTATGGCTACACTCACCTCTCCACGGGGGACCTGCTGCGGGCAGAGGTCAGCTCGGGCTCGGAGCGGGGCAAGAAGCTGCAGGCCATCATGGAGAAGGGCGAGCTGGTGCCTCTGGTTGGGGCACGTGTGGCCCTCGTGTGACTTGCAGGTGGTCCTGGCTCAGGGAAAGGGACCCAGTGTGAGAAGATTGTGCAGAAGTATGGCTACACTCACCTCTCCACGGGGGACCTGCTGCGGGCAGAGGTCAGCTCGGGCTCGGAGCGGGGCAAGAAGCTGCAGGCCATCATGGAGAAGGGCGAGCTGGTGCCTCTGGTGAGTCCACAGGCCACCGGCTGGGGCCCAGAGGGGCACGTGGGGCACGCAGGCAGGGGGTGGCTGTGGGGACAACAGATAGCATGGTGATTGATGGTCAGCATGTGGCCTGGGGACACCTCCATCCCTGCCACCCCGGGGGGTTTTGCAGCAGGGATCAGGGGTGCTGGGTGCGAGGGGGGTGCCACATTGTCCCGTCAGCCCTGGCAGCTCTGTCCCCCCCTCCCCAGGACACGGTGCTGGACATGCTGCGGGACGCCATGGTGGCCAAAGCGGATGTGTCCAAGGGCTTCCTCATCGACGGCTACCCCCGTGAGGTGAAGCAGGGAGAGGAGTTCGAGAAGAAGGTGAGGGCTCGCGCCGCGCCATGCCATGCCATGCCACCCGCCATCCCTGCTGAGGGTCTCCATGGTGCCAGCAGCAGCCCAGCCTCCCCATCCCAGCAAAGATCCCATCCCAACAGGGTCTAAACTGGGCACTCTCCCAGCCAGCAGGTCCCCCTGCCTTGGGGACAGCCTGCACCCAGGGTGCAGTCGGGGGGACATCTCTCCAGGGTGTCCTCAGACTGACAGAGGATGACCACAGCGCCGGCGTGATGGTGATGGCAGAGAGCCAGGGCTTGGCTGCAGCGTCCCTGTGCCTTTCTCCGCTTTGGATCTGGGGGCCACTGGGCCACCAGACCCATACGGAGGGAGGCAGAGGATGGCGTGGGGGACATCTGTGACCCCAATGCTCACTGCCACCATCTCCCCAAACCAAACCAGAGCCATGCTGACCCGGGATGGTGACAACCATGTCCCCCCTGCCCACAGATTGCCCCCCCCACGCTGCTGCTCTACGTGGACGCAGGGAAGGAGACGATGGTGAAACGCCTGCTGAAGCGAGGGGAGACCAGTGGGCGGGTGGATGACAACGAGGAGACCATCAAGAAGCGTTTGGAGACCTACTACAAGGCCACCGAGCCTGTCATCGCCTTCTACAAGAGCAGAGGCATCGTCCGCCAGGTAAGCAGCGACATGGCCAATGCCGACGCCCTCCGGCCCCACGGCTCCGGGCGCCTGTGGTCCCAGGGGAGGAGAAGCGATGGATGGGGATGATGAGGGAAGGGGGAAAAACTCAGTCCTAGCTCATTTGGGGTGGGCTTTACCCCTTGGAGCTGGCTGGACCCTCCAGTTCCTGACACAGAGACCTGCTCTAAGGATGGCCCTGCACCCCTTTGCCCAAAATGGGCCCTGGTTTCTCCACCCACGGCCAAAATCCATCCCTGGAAGAGCTCCAGTCACGCAGTCCCCTCAGGTGACCCCCCCGCAGCTAACCCCTCTGCACGCAGCTCAACGCCGAGGGCTCCGTGGAGGAGGTTTTCCAGCAGGTCTGCTCCCACCTTGACAGCCTG